AGATAGACCCAATGTTGTTGACTGGTTGAACAAGAATTGCAATAAATCTAGGCATGGGTTAGGATTTGAAGAAAATAAGAAAACTCCTTGGAAAACAAAAACTAAGCATGTAGATGTTTATGAGAAAAGAGTATGCTTTCATTGTGGTAATGTAGGACATTTGAAATATGATTGCATGGCTAGATTCAATGCTTATGAAAAGAATATCTCATAAATTAAAATTAAAAATTATATTTCTACATGCAAAGTCAAACAAATCTGGATTAGAAAAGATTAGCTTTCTAATTTTGTTGCAAAGAGAAAAGGACCCAAGCTAATCTGGGTTCCCAAATCTAATCATTGATTTAAGAATGCAGGTTAGAGTGAGGGGGAACAACTAATAGTACCTTGACAAAGGTTGTTCTAAGAATATGACAAGAGATATTTTCAGATTTCTCTCACTCTAACATTCGAAGATGGATGTGTGACTTTTTGTGACAACTACAAAGGTAAAATTATGGGCACAGGTAAAGTTGGTAAGTAACCTACACACTCCATTGATAAAGTTTATTATGACAAGGGATTAAGGCTTAATTTTAAGTTGAAAATCATTGTTGCACATGATCATAACATTAGTAGTATATCAACTTAATCATGTGTGTTTGCTGATGTGCTGAATTTTAACATTGTTGAGCTAATTTCTTCATAACTTCAGCTAGAAAAATCATTTTTTGATGAACCCAGTTGCTATTGAAAGCTAAGATGATGAAGTTTGATTCTGGATATTTTAATAATTTTTTTCTTAATTCCTCTGTTCCCTGAGATTTCGTGAAAGTGAGTGTTGAGTTCTAAATTCTGTTTTGAACTAGTTAACTTTAAACAGTCATAACTTGAGTTATACAAATCCTTTTTGCATGAAACCAGTGGCATTGAAAATCTAACTTAATAAGCTATAAGACTGGAAAATTTCAGAATTTTTGGAAGTTTGTAATATTCTTAGTTGATCTGTCAACGTGACTGGAATGTTGATTACTCTGTTTTTAGATAGCATACTTTAACTGGTTATATCTTGAGTTATAGAACTCTAATTTCAGTGATCTATACTTTGTTAGAAAATTTGAGATGTGTACTATAATATAAAAAAAAACAAAAAAATTGAGTGAGAAATTTTTTCCTTCCCCAAATGATTGGCTAGTTTTGATGATAGATAAAACACTCTTGATATTTGTTAACCTATTTTCTTTTTCACTACTATATTCAATTGTATCTTCCTCACCATTCATTTCGTATGATTTCTTGTTACATGTATTCTGAAGTGTATACTTTAACTTTGTGGTTGTTTGCCATGTTTGTGAGGATATATATCTATGTGTGATTTTCTTTGTGAGGAAGCAATCTAGAACTTGTATGAGTGAAGCTCAAGGCTCGCTAGTTGAGATGTTTCATGAGTAACTGAAAAGGATATAGGCCTTCTTTGGTCGTTTGAGCTTTCAAGCCAACCTTAACAATAATTTTTATCCCTAGTTACCCCATTTGAGCCTTAAGTCTATTTTTTTATTGATTAAATTTCATATGCATCCCTTTGTGTTTTAATTGTTACAAAAAATCTTTTTTTATGTATGGGTATGCATAGTTTCTAGATTGAGTGGATGAATTGTTAGAGTACAAAAGAAAACTACATAAGGGAATGAGAAAAGAAAAAAAAAAAGGAGGATGAGAAAAAGAAAAAGAAAAAGAATGTGAATAAGAAAAAGAAAGAAAACTGAAAAAGTGAGAATGAGAAAAAGAAAAAGAAAAAGGAATAAAAAAGGAATATCAAATTCAGGGGGAACAAGTTTCATTTGAGTTTCAAAGTAAAAAAAAAAAACCCGGTTTTTGAGTGTTAGTCATATGAAACTGGAAACTTTGAAAAAGTAGAAAAAGAAAAAGATATCTTCATGATGGAAAATAGTATTGAGAATATCAAAAGATAAGGTTTAAGGACTATGCATAACTTTACTATCCTTTCTTTATTTTTCACCTACCCAGATACTATTTTATTTTTGTTCATATCCACCTGTTAGATTACAAGCTTTAAAGTCCTATTGATTTGGTGGCTTATAAAATATTCCAACACCAATAGTGGAGAGCGGTCATGAGGTACAAGCTTATGGAAAGCTTAGAGAATAAGAAACAAGAGTGATTCTAAAGTTGAGTGCAAAGGCAAATTACTGCATTGTTATTGTATATGCTTTGGAATGTTTTCCTTTGTTGCCTTTCATCATTTTTGACATTCTTACTCTTCACTGTTTTTCACTATCAAGCTATTCTGATTTGAAATAGTATTCAAGATAATTGAAGATTGCATGAAGATTGAAGAAGATATGCAAGATATCATGTGATCAATATTCAAGATAATTGAAGATTGCATAAAGATTGGAGAAGATATGGAAGATCGAAAAACATGGAATCGAGTAAAGATTAGGATATATTTTATCTTTTTAGATTTCATGTAAGAGAAATAAAATATTCCTTGCCAAAGATTTGATTAGGATTGTATTGCATAATAGATTAAGATGTTATTATTATAAATAGGGCTCATTGCATATTATTTCATAGTGGAGAAAATACAAGAGAGAGAAGAGAGGAGAATATACAAAAAAGAAAAGAGAGAATTAGACTTTCAAGATTAGGATTCTTTCTTGTGCATCAATTAAAGAGTTTTTTTAAGAACATTCATTCATACATTCATCCTTTGGCAAAGTGAATATTTCTCCATAAAAATTCATATTACCTATATGCTTGAGGAAAAGAAGCACTGAGGTAAATACTTTAATTGTAATTTTCTTCTTGACCTTTTTGAAGGTCTGTACTAGGAAACTTGGATACCAGTTCTTGTGCTGGGAAACTGGGATACCAACATGTCTTTTTTTCTTGGAAATGGAGAGTAAGTTGAGAACCCTTGTCTGATAGGGTTTCGGAATCCTAAAGGGTTAGGGTTTCGTACTGGAAAACTAGGATACCAGTTTAGGAATTTGTGTAAGGGGTAGACTAGGAAACTAGGATACTAGAGAACTCTTTGTACACAAGTTTCATAGTGGATTTGCCAGTCGAATTTCAGTATTCGATTTTAGGGCCCGTGGTTTTTCTTCCCTTTTGGGTTTCCACGTAAAAACTATTGTGTTAATATCTCTCTATCCTTATCTTGATTTATTGCTTTGAGTTAATTTTAATTAGCGAATTATTTTTATAAAACTCAATTCACCCCCCTCTTGAGTTCATCTGGGACCAACAATTGGTACCAGAGCAGTGTTCTTTTATCTGTGCAGGTAACTCCTGAAGAGTAGATCTCAAGATGAACCCAATGGAAAGTATCAAGGAAAGATTCTCTACACAAAGACCTCCTATATTTGGGGTTTATGGACCCATGATTGGTTAAGTTGAACCTCTGTAATAATTGAACTAAGTCAGAATCAATTGGATTAAGGGCTTTGGCTTTGGGAGAAGCCTAATGGCATGAAATGTAAAAGGAAACGTTGTCGTTATGTCATAAAATATTAAATTATGAATGTTGATATGATTGCTGGTTTAAACAGACCGTGAGTGTGCTGTTTGTGGACCTTGGGAGGTTGTGGACTCTTGACTTTGGATTGTTAGCTTGCGAGGTAAGCTTTTGAGTCCTCGATTTTGCCCATTGTTGGTTCCACCATACCTCATGGAGGGATGGTTTATATGCATGATGTGTTTTTATGAAATGCTATTGAGCTTTTTATTAAGTGCAAGTGCCTTATGATACGTATGTGGTGTTCCACCTAGACGGTAAGCTTGAGTATGTAGCGTCATACAAGATGGTGATTCTATGGGTGAGGTACAAGTAGCGTCTTGTACTGTAGGTTGTAGGCGTATGTAATTTCTACATGTTTATTCTCTGGCCGGTAGGATTCTGACACACATGACATGATTATATGCTGCATTGCACAGATTTTGGAACTTATACTGTCTTACTGTTTTAGAACTTATATTGCACATGTAAGTGAGCTTGGGGTGGAGAGATCCTTGAGGACCCCTTGTCTTACTGAGATTTCTTTTTAGAGATCTCACCCCACGTTGGGGCACATTTTCAGGTTCAGGTACCTCAGGGGTTGATACCTCTGGTGGCAGGAGGCCGGAGCTGAGTTGATATGCATGCTGATTATACTGTTATGCCTGGATGCTGATATGTTTATTGTCATTATATTGTTATCTGAGCTGAGACTTTGTTGGGCCTTGTTGCCTTATTTGGTGAGCATGGAGGTTGTCCATGCCACATTGATTATGCTTTGTTTATTTAGACTCGAGTTGTATAATGTATCAGGATATTGTCTGGTCTACGTATTGTAGTTCCGTGACTAGATACACATCTATATATGAGGTTATTTTAGTTAGTTATTTATTTCAATTTACATACAGACAATGTTTTGAAAAAGGATTAAGTAATTAACTTGGTTAATAATAATGACGTCATAATTGAAAAGAAAAAGTTAACTTCTGCATTTATTTAGCTGCACTACTACCATATGTATGTTTAATACACCGGGTGCACACGGGGTGTTACATATATCATATCATCAAATTATTCAGTCATCATTGAGAACATTGGCAGAAATAATATTTATTTAATAATAATCAATCGCATGTTAATAATTTACAAATTAAGTATAATAATGCTACTTAGGGTGCTAGTCATGATATGTAGAGGATTTTGAATTGCATGCAGAGATTAATCCAAAAAATTTATCTAACAGGGGTTCATAACCAAACAAAACTGATCAAATTTGAAAAAACAAAAACTTGAAAACCTAAAATAAGAAATTAAACAAAATTAATTATGTTTTGTTTTGTTTGATTTTCTTTTTGTAAATAAGGGAATGGTTGGTTTGGATTTCAATTTTTATTAATATGGATGATTTCAAAGATATACATATATAGCTTTCTATTGCTATGTATAATTTCTGTTTTCTTCCATAAAATCCAAAATAATCCCATGTTTTCTTCTTGAGCGTGTGACTTGCGGCTCCACATACTAACTTGTAGCATATTTTTGTTTTCTTTTTCTTATGCCTCCAGAGACAAGTTAGAGTCCAAGAAGCACGAAGTATAGTATTGTTACGGGCAATGCAGCCATCATTCCAAAGATAACCCTGTAAAAATTGTGAGGTATCTTTTAAGATTTTATGTTGATGCATTAATTTCACACCGCATAAAAATGCATTTTTTACTATTTGTTAACAGAAGCAAATTTATTAGGAACACATAGACACACGCATACTTACGCAGTGCCTAGAATATCTGCATGGAGATTGTATTCTTTGGCGAATACAAAGGAAACAATAGCTTGGGGAAGAGCAGCCTGTGAAATTAAACATTGTATTTTGAATATATATAATGGCATTATATTTTGATTAATTTGAGGAATTCACAAAGTGAGTTTTATTTTACCTGAATAATTGTAACTTGTAAAAGAACTCCACGGATACCGATGGCTGTAGAGGTTGCAGCAACCACTGCTGGACCAACCAAGAACCTAATTGCCAGAGAAATTGCTGCTAAAGCTTTTCCACAAGCAATGATCTTGGGTTGTAATGCCATGAATAGACCTGTTTAAGTTAGCACTATGAAGAAGAGATTGCAAAATACACTAAATTATTAACATTTACAAGATACGGACCCAACATATTTTATATAAAATTCAAGATTTATAATATTTTGATGTATGCTATATGTTTGAAAACGAAATGAAAAAAGTTGAGAGAAATAAAATTGGTACTTGTTAACATGACAAAAACATCCTTATCTTATTTTCTTCTTCAATTATTAACAAAAAAATAAAAACAAAAATGTGATTTTTAAAAAATTCAAATGGTCATATCTATGCTTCTTTATGAAGTGTCAATAGTTATGTCATAACTGAAAAATATATTTTTTAAATTGAATATGTACATATGCATGTCGCACATGGCATCTAAATGTTGTATCCCTGCTTTGTAGAGTAAGCATATAATGTTAAATATGGTTCCCATATGATGAACCCAAATTTGCTGATACACTGTCAGAAAAGAGAGAAAAAAAGAAAATATTGAAGACTAGTACCGAGACTGAACATGGCCATTCCAAGCCCGGCATTAGACATTATTGAAATGCAACCATTTATAATAGACGGCATTTTGATGTTCCACCTGCGCATGCACATAAGCACTGATTAGTGTAAATGTCATAGACCCCAAAAAGAAAAATGTAATTTTAAAGTTTTTGGGGTGTTTCTGCATTGATGAGTAGCACCGGCATAGAAAGACACAGGTAAAATCAGATTTTGGGTAATACCCAAATGATATGAGGGACCATGCGAGGCCCAAAAGACTTGCGTAGGTATTGGGATTTCTTATGAGCTTCCTCCAAACCATGACGAGAATGAGCCTTGTCATGACACTAGCAGGTGGCATTTGTTGTTTTTTGTTTGCATCCTCTTCTTCAATGTTCACCTCCTTCCTGCACCCGCCTAAAGGACAATAATTGATTCCTTCCTCAATCTCAAGCTCCCTTTTTCCACTTGCTTCAGGACCAGAACTCGTGTCAATCAATTCATGCACACCTGCACGCAAAATGAAATATTTTAAAATAATGTTATAAATATATCACATTATGTGACCATAACCTCAATTTATAACTTTGTTTTAAATTTATGCCAAGGCTATATTTCCATATGAAAATTAATAGGACTACAATTGCTTAATACTTCAAGGCTAAAATGTTATCTTCATACCAAATCAGTATATATATCCATTAATGCAATGTGATGCCATTTTTACCTTTTGAGGCAGCAGTTTCGTTAGGAACATCAACAGCCTCGGAATTCCCTGCATGTCTCAGATTAACATAAGAAGCTGGTGATGCACTTGAGTTCCAAACAAACATTTGTAACTAACTATTTTGTGTATAAACCTGTTTGATTAAAACTTGAAGTTCTTTGCGTTGGTTCTCTGTATGATTGGACCGAATATGTGTCAACCCCATTAAGAGACTTATCGAAAGAAGAAGAAGCTGATCTCCTTACAACCACGTGAAATTTTCCATCTTCTCCTATCTCTGAATCAGCTTGCAAAGGCTCTCTAGTACTCAGAGAGCCAACATCTGAATCAACCCTTAGGGAAGTGATGGACCCTGCATTCTCATGGAATTTCTCTGAAATAAGGTGCTTAGCACCTCTGTATTCGTACAAGAATAGCAGAAGGGTGTACCATATGACACTTTGCAAAACCACAATTTGGATCATGAGGGTGGATGTAAAATCTCCATACATAGCTGATAAAAGAGGGACCCCCATAATGAGTGTGTTTGGCAAAGTAGAAAGTGAGAAGAAGGTGATCGTCCAGTCAAGGCTACCATACTTCGTTGTGAAGGTGTTCCATAGAAAAAGAGCCCCTAAAATAACAACTTTTTGAAGAGAATCCGCGGCTATGAACTTCATGTTCATAGCATAAGGGTTATTGGCGGATATGAAATGGAAAGAAAGAAAAGGAATTGCAAACATGGACACAAAGCGGTTTATGCCAGAGCACTGATCCGGTGTGAAAATCTTCCACCACCGAACTGAGCCATAGGCTAATATCATAGCCACATATAGGGGCACAACAGCTGCCAAAACTTCGTATATGTCTTTACCTTTAATCATGGTTGTGAAATGTTCATTGTGTTTAATCTGGAAGGGAGGCAAAAGAGCTTGTCAAATGTTGATGGTGTTTAATCTGAAAAGGAAAGTAACATCAATGAGAAACAAGCTCTCACGAGAAGCATGCCAAAGAGATCGAAAATTGAAATTTTCACTGGTTGTCCTCCTTTATAGGCGGGTCACCTCATGCATCATCTTATTACTTTTTCTATAAAAAAAAATAACAAAAAATAATCGAAACAAATGAGTGTGATCTGAGATGGATGGGGAAAAGAAAATGAAGCTCGGCGGTGTGGTTTTTCCATTAAATCTACGTGTTATTAACTACAAGTGTTAGTATATATGTGTGTGGGGATATATTTATATGATGTATGTTGCATCATATAATTATGTCATGTAACATAGATAAGATATGAGATATACTATTTTTTAAAGAAAAAAGAAAGAATAGCGAATCTCACTATTTTATATCTGGTCTCTGTTGCATAACATAATTATCTCATACAACATGAGATAATTCTTTTCTTATTAATTTTATCTCCGATTACTAAATTAAAACCTTATAAAGATGGATCATTGGTGATAAAAAAAAAAGAAAAAATGGAAATCATAACCATTTAAAACTGATTTAATTAATATAAGTAAATAAATAAATAAAATAACGTAATTTTTGTTGGGTATGGCTCATACTTCACATGATGATGTTGGCCCTAATTGTCGGGGTCAGCAGAAAGGCAACTGGTGTCCCACTCCAAGGTGAGCGGGCGGGGGTCCGGGGGAGCCGCCCCGGCGGGGGTTCGGGGGACAGCGCCCCCAGGCCCGTAGAGGCTAGGTAATGTTTAGGCCTCTGTTTCTATTGTAATTTCTTAGCAGTTTGGGCTTGGGCCCATGAATAGCTGCTGTTAGGGTTTCTTGTAATCCTATTTATATTTGCCTTATAAACCGAGAGACTTGTAATGAGTGGCGGTGAGGTGAATATAGTACAGACAAGCTGGACGTAGCCTATATTGGGTGAACCAGGGTAAATCATCGTGTCAATCTCTCTACTCTTATCTCTTTTTCTGTTTTCTCGATTCTGTGTGATTGTCGATTTCCAACAATTGGTATCAAGAGCTTTGGTTCTGCGACCAGGGTTCCTGTGACAGATTGGGGTTTCGCGATTTAGGGTTTTTTCTTGGCATAGATAAAACTGCAAAATTGATCTGGAGAGGATGTCGACTGGCCAATCACGGGTCGAGGTTGAAAAGTTCGGAGGAAAAGGGTTCGAGTTATGGAAGCTGAAGACGGAGGCTCTGCTCGTTGACAGGGACGTGTGGTACGTGATCGAAGATGATAAGCCGTCCGTACCAACAAAACCTGTCGGTGAAGAAACGTCAGGTGATGGCGAGTCGAAGGAGTTGAAGGCGTGGACCAGAGACGATCGAAAAGCGCGAAGCCTGATCTGGTTATGCCTGGCTGATAACGTTCTGGTGAACGTAACTTCTGAGAAGACCGCGAAGGATCTCTGGACGAAGCTGGGAAGTCTCTATCAGAGCAAGTCACTCGTGAACAAGTTGTTCCTGCGAAGGAGGCTGTATAATCTGCGGATGAGCGAAGGTGATTCTTTCTCTGCTCATTTAAATGAATTTAATACTATTTGTGCACAACTTTCGTCTATAGACATTAACCTGGACGAGGAAGACAAAGCTTGCACCTTGTTGTGTTCACTGCCCAACTCTTGGGAGCACATCATTGTGTCAATTGGTACTAGTGTTAATAAACTGTCGTTTGAGACGGTTGTTGCTGCCTTATTGTCTGAGGAGATGAGAAGGGTAGGTTCTGAAGGTACCAACAATGAGGCTCTGGTTGCTAGAGGGAGGAGTGATGACAAATCAAAGTCTGGTCACAGAGGAAGATCGAGGGGACGATCAAAGTCCCGTGATAAATCTGAAATGAGGTGCTGGAGGTGCAAAAAGGTTGGACATCTGAGAAGGAATTGCAGAAGTAAAAGTGTAGGTCCTGAGAAGCGAGATGATTCACAACCGTCTGCTTCGGGTACAAAGAAGGATGATGATGATAGTACAGGGGACCTGTACATGGCGCTTGACAGTCATAATGACTGTAATGATTGGATTATTGACACTGGAGCATCGTTTCATATGACACCTCATAGGGAGTGGTTCTGCACCTATGAATCGTATTCTGGCGGTACAGTTAGAATGGGAGATGACACGACTCATGCAATTGTGGGGCGTGGGAAGGTAAAGCTGAAGATGAGTGACGGGACAGTCAAGAATCTGCCGGGTGTGATGCATATTCCGGGGCTTACCAGAAATCTGATCTCCGTTGGTAGTATGGCAGATGCTGGTATTAATTTTAGCAGTGACAAGTATTCTTGCAAGCTGACTCGAGGAGCTTTGGTTATTGCAAGAAGAGAGCGTCATGGTAAATTGTGGAAACTGCTGGGTAGCACAGTATTCAGTGGTGAAAGCTATGTTTCAGAACAGGCGGAGGAGGACACTGCTATGTTATGGCATAAGAGGCTGGGGCATATTGGAGGAAAAGGTCTGGAGACTCTAACATCAAAGAAGTTGGTGGATGGAATTCCGAGCTGCTCTATGGGGTTTGGATTTTGCGAGCATTGCCTGCAAGGGAAGCAAAATCGGGTATCTTTTGATTCCATAGGAGGAAGAGCTGAAGGGGGTTCTGGACTTGATACACAGCGACGTGTTTGGCCCCACACCTGTAGCATCACATGGAAAATCAAGGTATTATGTTTCTTTTACTGATGATTTTTCAAGATATGTGTGGTTATATTTCTTGCGCAGCAAGGATGAAGTGTTCGATAATTCTGCGAGTTCAAGGCTTTGGTGGAAAATTAATTGGATCAAAAAATCAAGGTGCTGAGAACTGACAATGGAGGGGAGTTCTGTTCAACAAAATTTGACCAGTTTTGTGCGAGCAATGGGATTGTAAGACAGAAGACTACGCCCTACTCACCTCAACAGAATGGGGTGGCAGAGAGGTTGAATCGATCTCTCATGGAGAAAGCACGGAGTATGCTGAGCGGTGCAGGCTTGGCAACTGAGTTTTGGGCAGAGGCAGTGGCTACTGCTTGTTATCTGAAGAACAGATCTCCTACATCAGCTTTGAAGGAGAAGACTCCGTATGAAGCACTGTTTAAAAAAAGGCCAGACGTATCTCATATCAGAGTGTTTGGCTGTGAAGCTTATATGCACGTACCCAAGGAGAAAAGAAACAAGCTTGACAGTAAATCTGAAAAGTGTATCTTTATTGGGTACAAGGATGGCGTCAAAGGTTATAAGTTGTGGAATCCGGATACTAGAAGTGTAACTTACAGCAGAGACGTTGTATTCAGAGAATCTAAGTTGAATCAGATTTTTCCTGAAGCTCCTGAAAAGTCACAGACGGTGGAGTTGGATGTGGGTTTGAAAGAGGATACAATAAACTCACAGATTGAATTGGAAAATTTGAATTCTGAAGCTGCTGAATGTAATGAGTGGCGGTGAGGTGAATATAGTACAGACAAGCTGGACGTAGCCTATATTGGGTGAACCAGGGTAAATCATCGTGTCAATCTCTCTACTCTTATCTCTTTTTCTGTTTTCTCGATTCTGTGTGATTGTCGATTTCCAACAATTTTTGACTGACCGAAAATAGAAAAATATTTTTCTCATATATATATTCTTATATTTGTTGAAACTTGAAACAACTTGAATTCTTAGATAATTATTATGGGTTAATCTTTTCTCATTTTACATGAGAAAAGATTCTCATGTTATACACACAATTAAAATGTGGGTCCCATTTTTATTTTTGTGTCTTTTCACTTTTTTGTGGACCCCACTTATGTATTGAGTGTGTAACATAAGAAAATTTTCTCATGTAAAATGAGAAAATTAATCCCCATTATTATTATCACGAAAGTATTTAGTAACGTATTGTGTGTGTATGTTTGAATAACGATATAATATTTTATACTAATAATAAATTAAAATTATTTCAATTGATCCATTTTCAAAAAATCTCAAATGTATTTACAATGCTAGGCTTCCCAAGACAGTGGTTTACAGCCCATCATACAATGCTAGGCCAGGCCTTGGGAAATTATAGTGCTCATCGGCCCAATTCAAGCACGACGCTATCTTGCCTTTATGAAATCTTGGAGTGAGATTCGGGATATGTAGAAACAATTTCAAAAAGAAAAAGAATCTTGTATAAACTTTTATCCTATGTGTGCAATGGCGGACCTGCTTGTGGGAAATTGTCCGCAAACCTGTTGATTTTTTTTTTATGAAGCATAGCAATGAAGCACTAATAGCCCAACTTGTCTATAAAGGGATTACAATTGGGAATTGGGATTGGGCCCACTAATATTCAACCTCGAGTTTTTTCCTTCCCAATTCGTAAGGGCCTGTCTGGTGTGACGTATAAGGCACGATAGTATAAGCTTATACTATACGTTATGACATTTTCAGTTGTTTGGTGTGACCATCGTATAGTATAAGTTTATACAGCATAATCCCTTAATACATCAAAATGATGTATAACTTAATCCGGTCTAAGGGTGAGGGATAAAGCCTGATAAGAGATTGTTGTATTAACATCGTTGACCAATGTAATTCTCAAAAATTAATATATTAATATTAATCTATTAAAATAAAAATTAATGTTTCAATATATTAATTTTTAAAATATTGAATATTTTTATTTTTATAAAAATTAATTTATATTTTGGACACACTGATCAATAATTTTTTATAAAAATTAATATCATATGACATTTTTTGAAGAATTATATAAATTCTTTATTAAAGGATATTTTTATTTAAAATATTTATTTTTATCATATATAGTATTATACAGTGCATTACCAAATACTAGATGATATTATCTTATACAATATATTATTTTATACAATACCGTTCCAAACGCTGGATAGTATTAAAATTCAATCAAGTTTTATACAATCAGACCTTATACTATCAGGCTTTATCCTATACTATGTATCAAACATGCCCTAAACCTCTTTTTTCCTCAAACTAATTAGGATTGTTGAAGACGCAGAGCCATTGGTCATTTGGTCTCACCTGCTTCACTGCTTCCCCTGATCCTTAGAGATTTAGTATGTTAGGGTGTCCTTGTTGAGAGAATATATTTTAATAATTTATAATATGATGATCTATTCGTAGAACTTTGTTTATTTCTTGCGCCACCTATCTTGATTATATATGCTTCCCTTGAACTTCTCAGGTTGTTTTAATTTGCCCCGTTTATGTTCGACTCATTTCATTTTAATGTTCAACTCGTCTTTATGCAATTCATTTGCTCCTATCCGTCGTGTGCGTGCGTGTCTCTATCTTGTATACATGATTCTTGTTGCTTCCAATTTTATTTATTTTTAATTAATCTATTCACATGGTGTGGCGTTGCGTTTGCTGAATCTTATACTATAGCTTCGGAGCTTCCCTGATTTTGTACCCCTGCAAGTATTTGTTGATTATTTGGTTAGCATAATATTGATTAGATTAGGCGTTGCTTGGATATCTAATGAGTGGTGGAATGTAAAGGAATGGAATATGGTGAGATGGATTGGGTTTAATGTTTGTCATTTTAAATGACATAACTTTGTATCATTTTTAATGAAACTACGTCGTTTTGGTGTGTTTTGTCATTTTTTCTAATTTATAAAATTAGAAATAAAAAGAAAATGGAGGAGAGAGAATGTTAAAACACACCAAAATGACGTAATTTCATTAAAAATGACATAATTTTGTGTCATTTAAAATGATAAACATTTTTCCCTACAATTTATTGGATATTTTATGATGGAATGGAGGAAAGTTTTGATTCCATTATTTGGGAAATAAACAAAATGTGAAGGAGATTAGTAAAAAATAAATTGGTTCCATCTCATGCCTCAAAGTTGGCCGAAAGAAAAATAGAAGTATTAATTATATGGAATGAATATCATCATGTTCCATTTCATTCTACCCTATTTCAAAGAATTTGAACAATGACAACTAATTAGGTGAATATTTATGATGTACCCTGAGAGTAATCCGTTTCTACTAGGTGATTTGTTGCTATGGTTGTGATTTGTTGAAGTTTTCATGTACTTGCTCTATATAATATTCTTTGTTTTTTATATCGGATTCGCTATATTTGAATAGCCTGGGTTATTCTCATTTTATTGGTCATGAAATAATTCATGCTCTTTTGTAGGTGATTATTATGGTGATAAGATAATTGTAATATAGGATAATTTTGGTTGATTCTCCAAAGCTTTACTTTGGGTTTGTAATAATTTGACAAGTGATATGTGTTCAACATATAAGGAAATCTAAGCCAAAAAGAGAAAGAATGTGATTAAATCTTAAGCAAAAAGGGCAGTAATCACTGTTGATCTGTCAAATTCTTAATCAGAGATTGCATACTGATTTTAGGTTAATTTCGTAGGAAAAACAGACAAACTGGAGCTAAAAAAGAAAAAGTTAAACTGAAGGCCCACGCTCACAGCGTGGGTATGACGCCCATAGCATGAAGAGAGCCCTTTCACACAGAAGCTACCACGCTACCAGCGTGGGACTCACGCTAGTAGCGCCAGAGGTCCAAAAACAGGCAAAAGCTACCACGCTACTAGCGTGGGAGTGACGCTAGTAGCGCCAGCCTTTTTCACAATCCACGCTTGCAGCGTGGCAGCCACGCCAGTTGCGTGGTGCTCCAGGATATAGAAGAAAAACTCCCACGCTCACAGCGTGGGAACCATGCTAGTGGCGTGGGAGGTGCAGACAAATCAACTTAAATCTTCGTTTAAATCAGAGACAAGATTACAGTGAGATGCAGAAAAGATTAGATCAAGATTCTCCACCAGGTCAAAGACTCTATAAATAGAGACTCAGACCTAAAGAGAAAAACAACACTTTTGCACGGGAGAAATTGCGAGCAACAGGAATCGGAGCAAGCTTTCGGTGACTGAAGATCAAGATTTCTTCTTCCATTCTTTCCGGTTATTTCTAGTTTTTATGAATTCTTTTGAATATTTTGTTTTGTCAGACATGAATATGTCTGGCTAGTCTTTTATATTGTGGTAAGGGTCACAACCCTTGATGTGAACCCCTTATATTTTGGTTAAGTTTATGGTTAATTATTCAATTGAATTTATTTTACTCTGTTCTTCATCCCATAATTATTTTAGAATTCGCGACTCTATTAGGGTTGGGGTTTACAATAGGAATATTGGGATTCTAATTCCTGACAAAGGGTAAGATAATTGTTCATGTATGCACTAGGGATAGGCTATATGAACTGCAAATGTGAAAATTCACTGGGCTTAAAGATTAACTTAAGAAGGGATTTCTAAGGGATTAGGATTCCAATAGGGTTAATAAGGTTAAGATCACTAAGGGATTAGGGCTTAACTAATTAATTATAGATGGTGAATTGTTTGATCAATTGGGTAATTAAACATAAATATTAATCATTATTACAAGGTGGGGATCAGAAAGGTGTTGGCGTCCTTTACTGCAATAGTTTTCTTTACAATATTTTCTCAATCTCAACCCATTTTGCTTTAAGTTTTCAACTTCTCTTGAATTGTTCATAAATGATTGAATAATTCACAATTGTTACAAACACTATTACTTTCAAATCAACTCTTATTCATCCAATAAGAAATGAAAAGTTAAATTTAATTTGGTGCCTCAATCCTCGTGGGACGATATTCTTACTCACTTTTTATTACATGGTACGATCGGTGCACTTGCCGATTTTACGCAACAAGTTTTTGGCGCCGTTGCCGGGGATTGACTATGCCTAATTTATTTTTAACTTTTGAATTTCTTTATTGGATTTTGTTACTAATCTTTTTGATACAGTTTATGCGAGGTAAAGTTCATCGAGATTCCTTATAGTTTGATCCAGAAATCGAGAAAACTGCAGAGAAAATTTGGAAGCAAGCCAAGCAAAGAAAGCAAGAAGAATCTTCAAGTTCAAAGCCGCACAAAGAATTAGTGATGGCAGCTAATAATCAGCCTCCGCCTCCTCCACCACCTCCAGCAGAGTTGATGGAGTCAACTATGGCTCCTATGTTCACAAGGCCGAACTCCAATGTTGTCCGGCCAGAGATAGAGGCCAACAATTTTGACATCAACCCGTCTCTGATTAATCTAGTGGAGAAGAATCCTTTCAGAGGAGATGATTACGAAGATCCTCACGACTTCATGGACAGATTTCTGAGAATTTGTGACACTACCAAGCATCATGGAGTGTCTGACGATGCCATCAGACTCAGGCTGTTTCCCTTTGCTTTGACCAGAAAATCCCTCAGATGGTTAGACCGACAAGCTCCTAACAGTATCCGAACATGGGACGATCTAGCCGCTAAATTCTTTGCTGAGCATTTTTCGCGGGAAAAGTACAACAAGTTGGTGAACGAGATCACCAACTTCATTCAGCAGCCGGGAGAGACTCTTTGTGCAGCCTGGACCCGATTCCAGGAGTTGATCAGGAAATGCCCTCAGTAGTATGACTTTCCAGACGGGAAGAAGGTCAGAGTCTTCTATAATGGGATGACACCGGATACCAGGATGGTTGTCAATAGTGCAGCCGGTGGAACCATCGGAAAGAAGACAACAGCAGAAACCCTGGAATTGATTGCTTACCTAGCACGGAACGATAACGCTTCTACGGCAGTTCCTCCAGTTCAGTCAACTCAACCCAAGAAGGGAATTTTACTATTGGGGAACACTGACGCCTCATTAGTTGAGCAAAAGGTGATTTCACAGCAGTTGATCAGTTTGAATGCCAAGCTCGACAAAATGCAGCTCTCAACATCCAAGGTATTGTAAGTATTGTAAGGAGCCGCATGATACTAATGAGTTCCCTACACTCAATAGAGCTTAACCATTCCAGGTCAATGGAATTTGGTATGATCCAAGGCCTCCGCAAAATACTCAAGGTTACCAAAAGAATCAGAATGGCGGCCAAGGGAACAATTTCCAAAGGAGGAATCAAGGGAGCGGCCTGGATTATAAATCCAACAACTATCTGCAACCTCCTCCTCTGCCACAAAAAGAGCCATCTGAGTTGGAGAAAGCGATGTTACAACTGGCCAAAACTACTAATGATCACATAAATGAGACCAGAGCCTACCACAAGAACCAGGATGCTTCCATCCGAAATTTGGAGAGTCAGATAGGCCATTTGTCTAGGAAGTTGGCTGAAAGGTCTCAAGGACAGTTCCCAAGTGATACAATTGTGAATCCAAAGGAGGACTGCAAGTCTATTGTGACTAGGAGTGGAATTGTGATCACTCCTCAAGAAAAGTCAAAATCGGTTCAGCCAAAGAAAGTTAATGAGCCAACAACTGAACTGGAACATGAGAAAGAAGTACAATCACCTGTCAGTGAACAAGAAGAAGCAAAGGAGAAAGTTGTTGAAGCTCCAAAGCAACCGATGGATTTTTCTCGCTTTGAGAAACCTCTATATCGTATGAAGCTCAAACAACAAGCACAGAAGCAACAGTATGCCAGGTTTTTAGATATGTTTAAAAAATTGCATATTAATATTCCATTAGCTGAAGCTCTTGTTAACATGCCTAACTATGCTAAATTCATGAAAGATTTATTGTCTAGAAAGCATAAGTTGCAGGATTGTGAGACAGTAGCACTTACTGAAGAGTGCAGTGCCATCATTCAGAAGAATTTCCCACCAAAGCTTCAAGATCCGGGAAGTTTTAACATCCCAATTACAATAGGCAACACTAATGTTGGCCGGGCATTATGCGACCTTTGAGCAAGCATCAACTTGATGCCGCTATCAATATGCAAGGCATTGGGAATTTCTGAACTGAAGCCAACCATGGTCTCTTTACAACTAGCTGACCGTTCAACAAGAAGACTTACTGGAATAATAGAGGATGTCCTTGTCAAGGTTGACAAGTTCATCTTCCCAGCTGATTTCATTGTGCTGGACGTGGAAGAAGAGAGTGAGATACCTCTTCTGCTTGGAAGGCCATTCTTGGCCACAACTCGAGCTATGATCGATGTTGAACAAGGAAAGCTCGAGCTACGAATGAACGATGAGAAAATCACAATCAATGTGTTCAAAGCTATGACAAACTCATCTGGCCCCAGTGACTGCTTCAGACTAGATGTGATTGAGGAAGCAGTCCAAGAAGTGAATTTTGATGATCAAGAGACTGAAGATGAATTTGATGATCCAGATGAAGGTGCTCCACAAGAAGGGCGAGAATCTATCTATGAGGTGTTTGAAAAAAAAGAAGATGATTTAGTTCCATTTGCACCAACGGTGGAACTAAAAGAGCTGCCACAAGCTCTAAAGTATGCCTTCTTGGGAGACGAAAAGCAATTTCCAGTCATCATCAATAAAGATTTGTCTTCAACTGAAGAAAAGAAGCTGTTGAAAGTGCTCAAAGAGCACAAGACGGCCATTGGGTGGTCTATTTCTGACTTGAAGAGAATCAACCCTTCCTTCTGTACTCACAAGATTCTAATGGAGGACAATGTTAAACCAGTGAGACAGCCTCAGAGGAGACTAAACCCAACAATGAAAGAAGTAGTCCACAAGGAAGTGATGAAGCTCATAGATGCTGGAATGATTTACCCAATTTCTGACACTGCATGGGTGAGTCCAGTACAGACAGTTCCGAAGAAAGGAGGATTGACTGTCATGAAGAATGATCAGAATGAGTTAATTCCAATCTGCACAATCAATGGCTGGAGGATGTGTGTGGACTACAGAAGATTAAATGATGCCACCAGAAAGGATCATTTTCCTCTGCCATTTATTGATCAAATGCTGGAAAGGTTAGCCGGTCATGCTTATTACTGTTTCTTGGATGGTTATTCCGGCTACAACCAAATCCCAGTCTCACCAGAGGATCAGGAGAAGACAGCTTTCACATGCCCATTTGGAGTCTTTGCCTACAGAAGGATGCCATTCGGCCTCTGCAATGCACCCGCGACTTTTCAAAGGTGTATGCTTTCTATCTTTTCTGATATGGTAGAAAAAAATTTAGAGGTTTATATGGACGATTTTTTGTGTTTGGTTCCTGCTTTGATTCATGCTTAGTTAACTTAGCTAAGGTTTTAAAAAGATGTCAGGAAACTAACTTGGTTTTAAATTGGGAAAAGTGCCATTTCATGGTACAAGATGGCATAGTATTAGGCCATAAGATTCTAAAAAGGGCATTAAAGTGGATAAGGCTAAGTTGATTTTAATTGAAAAACTTCCCCCTCCTGTTAATATTAATGGTGTGCGAAGCTTCTTAGGTCATGCAGGTTTCTACCAAAGATTCATCAAGGATTTCTCAAAGATTGCAAAGCCTCTTAGCCAGCTGTTGATGAAGGATCAAGACTTCCTCTTTGATGAAGCTTGCCTCAATGCATTCAATGTATTGAAGGAAAAGCTTACCACGACGCCTGTGTTGACGGCACCAGACTGGAGTCTTCCGTTTGAACTCATATGTGATGCGAGCGCACACGCTATGGGTTCAGTATTGGGTCAGCGTAAGAATAAAATGTTGCATGTCATTTACTATGCTAGCAAGGTTTTTAATGAGGCACAATCTAATTATGCCACTACTGAAAAAGAGATGCTAGCAGTAGTTTATGCATTAGATAAATTTAGATCTTATTTGATAGGTTCTAAAGTTATCGTTTTTATTGACCATGCTGCTATTAAGTATTTAATGACCAAGCAGGATGCCAAGCCACGTTTGCTGAGGTGGATGATTTTGTTTCAAGAGTTCGACTTGGAAATCAAGGACAAAGCTGGAGTGGAGAATAAAGTTGCTGATCACTTGTCTAGGATTCAGGACAAGCAGTTACAAGAAGGACCTGAAATTGAGGTCAATGAGTCTTTTCCTGATGAGCAAGTGATGGCCATAATATTGCATCCATGGTTTGCAAACTACAAAGCTGCTGGTTCAATTCCTGATGATCTTACTTGGCAGCAGAAAAAGAAATTCTTCCATGATACAAAGAGGTACCACTGGGATAATCCATTCTTATATTTTCAATGTGTTGACGGTATTATTCGTAGTTGTGTAGCTGAATTTGAAATACCGGATATTCTGTGGCATTTCCACGCGTCTGACTATGGAGGTCATTTTGGAGCAAACCGGACTGCGCAAAAGGTGCTGCAAAGCGGTTATTACTGGCCAACAATCTTCAAAGATGCACGAGACTTCGTAGAGAAGTGTGACAAGTGCCAGAGAACGGGAAACATCTCCCGTAAAGATGAGATGCCCCTCAACTGCATACTAGAAGTGGAGCTCTTCGATGTTTGGGGGATTGACTTCATGGGACCATTCCCTACGTCATACTCGAACCAGTACATATTGGTTGCAGTGGATTACGTGTCAAAGTGGTGGGTTGAAGCAGTTTCCTTGCCCACAAACGATGCAAAGGTGGTAGTGTCTTTCTTACGGAAGAACATTTTCACCCACTTTGGAGTTCCTCGGGCAATCATCAGTGATGGAGGCACACACTTCTGCAACAAGCAGTTTGACAGCTTGCTTACAAAGTATGGTGTCAAACACAAAGTGGCTACACCATACCATCCTTAAACCAGCAGACAAGTTGAAATTTCAAACAGAGAGCTAAAGAGGATCCTGGAAAAGACTGTCAGTAACT